ACGCACACGTAACTTGAACTGGAAAAACAAATTAAAATTGTTATTTTCATCTTTGTTAGAAAATGCCGCGCCTTTCAAATGTAGAAGGTCTACAGTCTGTGGTCACTGTTTCAAGAGCCTTTAATTGTTCACGCCAGACAATAATTAATCTTAGAATGAGAGTGCTTCAAACTGGAACTATTGCCGATCGCCCAAGGGCGGGAGCGCCACGTGTGACGTCACTCCAGGAAGATCAAGCAATACGATTACGCCATCTTAGAAACAGATTTGTCACTGCAACCTCCACAAGTAGAGAGATATTTGGTGGAAGGGTAACTGCACAAACTGTTCGAAATCGCTTGCAGGCTGCTGGTCTTCGAGCTCGGAGGCCCTATAATGGACCAATATTGACACCTCTTCATCGCCGTAACCGACTTGTGTGGGCCACAAGACAGTAAGATTTACTCAAAGACAGTGGAATTCGGTTGTCTTTAGTGACGAATCTCGATTCACTTTGAGATTTGCCGATGGCAGGGCCCGAGTGTACAGCAGACGAGGTGAACGTTACGCTCAAGTATGCGTCAGAGAAGTTGACCGATTTGGGCAGCGTCATGGTTTGGGGTTCTTTTTGTTCACATGGACGTTCTCCTCTTGTTGTTGTCCAAGGGATCAGATTTTGCAACCTGTTCTTCCGTTTATGAAGAGACATGGGCCTGGACTAATGTTTCAACAAGACAATGCTCGACCCCAAACAGCAATTGCTACCCAGAATTTTTTAAGAAATGCCGGTGCTGTTATGATGGAACTGGAACATGTAACCCATTTCTATGGTTCCAGACTTGTAGACGCGCTTGCCATCGGAACCGGTCCGATAAATACCCCTTTAATCGATCACTACCTGGCCTTTGTCGATGGTTTTCATGGCGAAAAGCCCTCTGTCGCGCCCAGGTAGGCGTCGCTTCATGATGACATGATCCCATGACTGTTTGGCATGCATCTCCCTCAATTGTTCGATATCCGTCAATTGCAAGGGTGGTTTGTCTTGTCCACGTTTAGATTTGGATTGGGTGTTCACGTATTGTAACGCGTAATACGCAATCCTCGGATACTGATTCCAGTCAGGGAACTTCCCCTGAATTAACGTACGTGCACAAAACCAGAAAATTGGCGACATCCGATGCGGCTATTTATAAGGAAGTCGCCTTCTTCTCATCAAAAATGAAAATCTAATGCTTGTAAGTATGTTTTAGGTTTTGGTAGTTATCTTAGACCTAAGATTCTTTTAGTCGTAGAATTTATATGCGAGGTCATTTGTCTACATGACGTCATCACTTGATACCATTGAAAATAAAGGAATCCGATGCGGCTATTTATAAGGAAGTCGCCTTCTTCTCATCAAAAATGAAAATCTAATGCTTGTAAGTTTTGGTAGTTATCTTAGACCCAAGATTCCTTTTTTGTCCCAATCGGAAAACTGTTTTGTTTATTCCTTATCTAATTCGTGTAGATCTTTGAAACTGTGACAGGTAGAGTTCTGAATATTGATTTTCACATGTTTTAAACTGTTAGTACTTATAACTATCGCGAAAGTTATGAACAGACCCGAAGTGAAGTAAATCTTTAACGTGCACGAAAATTGAAAGTCGGCCCTACTATGTCAATTCCCAACCGATTTTCGAAAAAGTTATATTTTTGTACAGCTGGGGATATTGCGGATGCGATAACGGTCGAAGAGAGATATCTTGTCGTTCTCATTTTTTCTTCAAAATTTGAAAATTTACTAATATTATTTCTTGGAATTTTGAGTTTTCGATTACATATTTGAACGGCAATACTATATACCAGAAAACACCGGAAAACAACCGGAAAACACCATTTTATACTGAATACCGGAAAACACCGGAAAACACTAAATAGCGGAAAACATCCTAAATACCGGAAAACACCCTAAATAGGTAACCCGGAGCCTGATCCTCTGTATGAGGTTTTGGACCAAGTGAGCGCCGATGAAGGAAGGTCAAGGTCATTACGATGTTCGTTTTACAAATAGCCCCCCCCCCCCAAAAAAAAAAGATTTCCGATTTATTTTTCTCCAAAATTTTTTTGACGAAAAAAAATTTCTGTCACAAAAAAAAAATCGAATTTTTCCGAAAAATTGGTTTTAGAAAATAATTTTACAGAGAAAAATACTGGAAAAAAAATTGAATTTTTTTTTTTGAGAGAAATTTGGGAGAAGAAATTGTTAAAAAAAATCTGAAAATAAATTTTTCTTTGACCGTAGGCGATCGCTCGCTTGTATGTTAATGAACTTGTTTCATCAGCGCTCACCTGGTCCAAAACCAATCACGAGGACCAAACTCCGCATTACTAAATAGCTACCGGAAAACTTAGAAGAGTAAACTGCGCCGCTCCGGGAGGGATCATCGTCAGGGTGGGACGGGGGTGGAGTTGTCCAGTCACGTGACGAACATAAATCTTCCGTTCCTCAACCCATATTATTTCCACAGTCATTGTCATTAATCACAAATTACGGGATGATATACGAAAATGCAGGTTTACTTTGAAATAGTGCAAATGATACTTTTCCATCTACAATCTTCAGATCAAAGGATGCAAGTTCTTACACAGTGCAGCATACTTTGTGCAACAGAAGACATCTCGAATATCGATTGTCGGAAAAAACATTTTCTCGGGAACATTTTTTTTCCGAATACGCATTCGGTGTAAGTCTTCAGCCACCAGGAAGTGGTTAACATAGTAAAGTTTTATTACGATAGTAGTACATAAAACAAATTGGTTGCCTGAGGTTCTCGGGGGGAAAGTAGCCTCATCGGCTAGAGTCCTCTATTTCACAAACAAAAACAACAATTGCTTCCTTGAAAATTTATCGATCAACCATTTCCACAGACGTCCAGCTTACCACTTCCCGTCAATGCAGTAAGATAGAATATGTAGTTTTCTCATGGACAATTGGGCGAAAGTTGGGGTTTTCTCAAGGAAAACTGGTCAACGAGTTGGGGAAAAAAGCTCGAAAAGTATAAATCCAGAAAAAAATCCTGTGTGCGGCCCTCGGAATATGATGGAATATGTTGAATATTATTATGGTTCAAGTGTTTATATTTGACCCTTGAATGAAAGTAAGCTCAGAAACAAGTAGATTTTTAGCCCTTCCAACGAGATGGATAGCTCTTGGAAAGGATAGACACTTTTCAGATTACAGCCTGTCCGAGAATTGCGTGGCATCCATTTCGTTTGGTGATTAGGACACATAGCGGTTAAATCTCGAACTTCAACTAGAACTATTCAGAGATTTATTAACTCGCTTTTGATGATACTTGCTGTTTTATGATGCGATTTTTTGTTACCTAGGAAGGAGTTGGCCTAATCGTGCCTTCCACTAATTCGTACCACCCTGATGCCAGCGTTACTGGTAAGAATCAGGAGACCGGCGCAACCGGCATATAACGGGGCCCTCAGAGGGCTGTGTTTAATTGTTTAATCTACTGAAATACTGAAACACTGAAATCTACTGAAATTTACTGAAAACTAAAATTAAAATACAAAATAAAATATGGTCAATGATGGAGGTAGACTGATTGCGTCTTTTAAAACATTCAAAACATAATAGGCATTAACAAAATTTTGGAGAAAAAAAAATCGGAAATATATTTTTTTTTTGGGGGGGGGGGGCCTATTTGTAAAACGAACATCGTAATGACCTTGACCTTCCTTCATCGGCGCTCACTTGGTCCAAAACCGCACACAGAGGACCAGGCTCCGGGTTACCTATTTAGGGTGTTTTCCGGTATTTAGGATGTTTTCCGGTATTTAGTGTTTTTCCGGTGTTTTCCGGTATTCGGTTGTTTTCCTGTGTTTTCCGGTTGTTTTCCGGTATATAGTATGGCCCTCAAACAACTTCCACCAATATTATAATCCTGGCTAACAAGAATCATAGATGTAGTTCTACATGTGTATGCAAGACTCAGCGCACAGTTGTTTTGAAACGGGAAGAATTTGGATTCTCTGCGGTATCTCACATCTTTTTGGTTGAAAAACTGGTCAATTAAGTTTAAAAACACAATATTAAGAATCCTTAATCAATCATAAACGGTGTTCAGTACAACAGGAAAATAATCCAAATGTTCCAAAAGCAAACAAACAGAAAAAACCGTCAAATTGATGGTCACACGTGCGTTGTTTACCTATTTAGGGTGTTTTCCGGTATTTAGGATGTTTTCCGGTATTTAGTGTTTTTCCGGTGTTTTCCGGTATTCGGTTGTTTTCCTGTGTTTTCCGGTTGTTTTCCGGTATATAGTATGGCCCTCAAACAACTTCCACCAATATTATAATCCTGGCTAACAAGAATCATAGATGTAGTTCTACATGTGTATGCAAGACTCAGCGCACAGTTGTTTTGAAACGGGAAGAATTTGGATTCTCTGCGGTATCTCACATCTTTTTGGTTGAAAAACCGGTCAATTAAGTTTAAAAACACAATATTAAGAATCCTTAATCAATCATAAACGGTGTTCAGTACAACAGGAAAATAATCCAAATGTTCCAAAAGCAAACAAACAGAAAAAACCGTCAAATTGATGGTCACACGTGCGTTGTTTACATCGAACGTATTAATATGAACTGGTACGGGCAGCCATTTTACGCCTCCGCGTACTATTTTCTGTACCTATTTACGCTAAATATGGAATATTTTTTATCCAGATATACTTCAAACACCTTTATTTATTTTTCTAACACTTAAAAAAAATGTTTCAGAATTTAATTTGTCGAAAGAAAAAAGTTAATATTTTGGAGTCATTAAGTCGCATCGATCATTTTCGATGTCATCCTGGCTTATCAGTGATTGTAGCGGCCAAGCGAATATAATTACTGCGGATCAGTGTGAGAATATGTGTGCTGCCAATGATTGACGCCGCACGATGAAAAGTCACGTGTTGAAGGTAGTCATCTTTTACAGAGATGTTAGAAGACTTTCGTAATCCTCTGTGGATATGACGTGAATTGATATTGATAAAGTAAAAGTAGTCACATGATCACATGAGGCGGTGTCAAAATGGCGACTAAGTCGCCAGATTGGGAATTTGACAAATTTGATGATGGATCGCTAAGTATGACGTTTTATATTGTAAAGTATAAACATAATTGTGTAAAACTCCGTGTGAGTGGGAATCTTCTGTTATCAACCTTGGTTTCAGCATGTGAAGTGAGTCTGTCTGGAATATTCCGTCGGGCAGCGTACGCCGAACGGTCAACTCATAATCATGTATTAGGGTGACCCGTGCACTTTACAGAAAGTTGGTCTCGAGACGGCTAAATGTGCACGCTTCAGTTGCGTGTCTCGAACTGATTTCTGACTACCCCGCACTCGCTTTAGTCGATAAATAGCCATGGCACGTGCAATTCTCTACAAATATATCAACTATTACAGCCGTAAAAAATCTTGAATAGCAGTAAAATTTAGCTTCTTGGTTATTACAGCAGCTTTAGTAATTACATTTGTTTTATTTTTTAAATTGCTTTATCATTAACTGTACCGTTAAGAGCGGCATCTTTTGGTTTAGTACAAATACTATCTCTGAATCACTTTCTTTAGCAGGAACATGATACTAGCAGTAGTTTCATTTTACTTTTACAAGTTTCTTAAAACAATTGTTGAGTTGTCTAAAGTGCTTATTTCTAAATTCAATTTCTTGTTCTAGCTTTCTGTTATGTTTCGTAAAAAAGTAGTCTTGATTATCCCGACCTGTCAATCAGACGTAGAATGGTCGATAGACTAGTTAAGCGAGACTAATTTCAAAACAAGGGCACGTAACCTATCTTTTACTCAAAAGTGTCTGGATGTTATGGACGCAACTTGGAACCAGTTTTCAGTCTATTATTTATAGATGATTAATGGTCATAGCTTATTAAGTACAACATGATCGTTTATTTAGTGACTATAATTGTGTGAAACTGATTGGAGGCTTGGCATATATATAAATATTGTGGCGTAATTGTCGAGATATTTGGAGATATTTATTTATGGTGGGTCACCCTACATATATGGTCTCAGACTAGCAATTATTTGCCCATTGACTTCAATGTTAAATGACTGTAACATCACAGGCTGTAGCTTTTTGCTCAACATTCCGTTGGTTCCAATCTTTATAGGCACAATGGGGACAATATTTGGCAATCTCCTCATCATAATTTTGTAGGGGGTTGACCATTTAGATTTTTTGCTACACAGATTTGAAGTTGACAGGGGTGAAAATCTCACTTCCGACACAAGAGGCGTTTTTGTGAACCGATTAGATTAGACCGATTAGCTATTATACGCATTTGTGAACCAAGTTGATTATGCTAATCGTTACATTTGTGAGACGATTTAACTCAACTGATTAGGCAAATCGACCTAATCGTCCCAGGAGGTGTTTAGGCGATTATATTTGACGTTTTCAAAATGGCGGAATGTTCGACATCGTAAGTAATTTTTAATGCTTATTGTTGTTTTTCTCCATAAAAAATGTTTTTTTAAAACGCATTTGATGTGTTTAAAGTAGCTAAGTCTCTAACTCAATATCATCCAAAATCTTCAACATTGAAAACACGATTTATTTGTCAAATTATGTTGTGATCTTAACGGGAAAAGATGGGCTTTTGATATCCAATATTTAAGACAAAATAAACATTTTACCATTGGTACACGAATCGTGTACCATAATGCGCTTCAGCCCAAGGTGGTACCAAGAGACTCGAGGGACGAGGCTAGACACATTGCACCAAATCAAACGGCGTATGTAAACTGGAATAACCAGACGCTAGAAATTTGCACTCGCTTGAGACTGCTGGCTTATTTCGCCGAACATAACGGATTTGAAATTGGAGTAAAAACGGAAACCATTGAATGTAAATCAGTTTATATACATTCATATTACAGTATTATATGCATTGCGACCCACTTTTGTCAATTTCTAGGTCCCAAATGTTAGCGATTTAGCTCCTTTAATGTTAACTTTATAGTCCACAAGAATGTTAGATCACCTCTGGCTCTAAGCAATTTTAGGCCCTCTGGGTGCCAGCAGTGTCACTGTAATCTGTAGGTAACTTGGACTACACGTGAAACACACGCCCCCCCTCGTCATGTTAGCAGAGACAATTTTTTTTCTGATCGGTGTCCGTGGTGGCAGCCATCTCACCAAATCGTAATTATCAAATTTCACATTTGTGGACCATAGCTAATCAAATCGAAATCATACCAAATCGTACTAGCAAATCAAAACCTAATCTAATCGACTCACAAAAACGCCTAATGATTGCTCTGCAGAAAGACACTTTACACCCCCTATCCCTCCGCTGTAATATCATCAGTATTACCCAAAACTGTTTTGAAATTGCAAATTTGATCCCTTTTCTCCAATTCTAGACCAAAAAGTCAACCCAAAAATGCAGGAAGAGGGGAGAAAAAAATTAAGGGAAAAATTGTCTATTTATAACTCGCACTACATTCGTCCATCATGAAATAAGGGGAAATAATTACTAGTCTTAGTCCATATAGTCATACATTACGGTTAGAAATGGTTCCACTACTGATGTCTTCCGCCTAGTTTCTTTAGGAACTGTCTCTGAGTGAACTGTGTCCGCTGACAGTTCCTACCGCTTGCTATGTATCTGCAATATGAAAATACGGTAAAATACCGCTCTTCCACACCTCTGTTCTCAGGCTATTCTGGAACTCTTAGTCTTACCTTCTATTTTTCACCGTGATTGATGTGAATGTTTATTCTTCGCAAAAGGAATCATATCTCCTCATATCTGACACAAATTTATAATAATTCAACACTATTTTCAAGTAGAATTTAGCGATTAAATAAACATGCGTGTCTGTGCATGTCCGAGTCTCGTAATGTCTGATCAGATCAAACGTATTTTGTGTAGGCCTATGTTTTTTATCACAAAATTCTGCTTGAAAATAGTGTTGAATTATTATAAATGTGTGTCAGTTGTGGCAAGAAATGATTCCTTTGGGAAGCAAAGAAGAATCAGGGTGAAAAATAGTCAGTAAGGATTTAAAAATAGCCTTAGATCAGAGGTGGGGATGAGCGGTATTTTCATATTGCAGCTATATAGTAGTATATAGTAAGCGGTAGAAACTGTCAGCGGACATAGTCCGATCAGAGACAGTTCCTAAAGGAACTATCTTCCGCCTTGCTCCAGCAACAGTAGTGGACCGTCGTAAGGCCTTCCTTTGAGCAAGTTTTGTAGTCAATTGACTAAAAAAAGATACTGACCTATAACTCAGTTACTTATCTACCTCCCCAGTGCTAAGTCTAGTTTGCAAACTATTAGCTGACCTTGATATTTTGTCATTTTCTTTTTTATTTTCATTCAGTTATCTCTCATTTTGTAATATATAAGCTTATTGACATTGTTACCTGTTTGTACCATATATTTTTGGTGTTTTGTATCTATTTGATTATATCTTTCTTTTACTATTTTTAGTAATATTTTATTATTGTATTGAACTGTGTTACATAATGTATAAATTTCTAACTCAAAAAGGTTTGCACCTGTGCCATTTGAACGTTTGCCATTTCTTTAATAAGCTAGATGAACTGAGGTTTCTGTTGGAAAATTTTGACATTATTGGTTTTAATGAATCCCACTTAAAAAATTGCATAAGTGATGATTCCCTTATAATACCAGGTTTCCACTCGCCTTTTCGTAAAGATAAATGCAATACTAGTTCTTCATGAACCCTTATTTATGTTAGGGATACATTAAACTGTAAGAGGAGAGCTGACTTAGAACACAATAATATAGAAACAATTTGGATTGAAATTAATATTAAAAATACCACCCCAATACTCATCTCTTGCACCCCTTAGCTAAAACAGGTGGATAAATGATTTTTAAAGACATGATGGACCCAATTTCAAATCATAATTATGAAATTCTTATATTTGGGATATCCATATCGATCTTTTAATTTCGACCAATTTTTACTGGACTTACATATTGGATAATTATAACTTAAAACAAATTATTTCTCCCCCAACTCGTGTGACTGACAAATCGTCCACATTAATAGACCATGTTATTGTTTCCTCCCCACAAAATACGGTATTGGTTTTTACATATAAACCGAAAACTGAACTGATAAAACAAAAAATAACCGTGCGTTTCGGTTTATTTTTGTTCCAAATTCCTAATTTTTAATTTACCTGTTTTTCGTTTCGGAAATGTTTGAAAAATTCCTAATTTTTATGTAACCGTACTTCGTTTACTTAAAGGACAATATTGGTGCCAGTCATTATCACATATGTGATAGAACTAATTCAACACGTTCCAAATATAATTTTAACTCAGAGATCATTGCTACGATAGCTGAGTAATACAGGATTCGCGAATCGGAAGTGACAAACGCCAAAGGAAAACACGAGACATACCTCTATATAACTGTCTGAAGTGCCGACTGATAACAGATACATGAGTGAATTTCTGCTCACTAATAATTCCTTCAAAGACTGAAAGTTGTTGTGTGAGACTGTGAGAGGATATCTAACAATTTATAAAAAGAATTGACTGCCAGTGGATAAGAGAACACGAAAGAAAAACAGAAAAAAAGTCCGTGCATTACCATGTTTTTATAAGGTAGGGGAAAGCAGGGTTAGTCCGACCCCATTCATATCTCGCGCCCACTCGGCCAAAGCTCGGCTGTATGACGAAGTCCGCCATTGGGACTACTTTCAAGTTCCAGATTACCAACACCGTTGCCCATGACGACGCATTTAAAGAATGTTTTACCATACAAAGATTTCAAAGTCTGAAGCTGTTTTTCTTTCAAGTTTATCCTATTTCCTTTAGACACAGGCCAGTTTGAACTGAAAAGTCTACATATGCTTCGAACGACGCAGTTTTGAGAACTTTTTTCTAAAAGCGGCAAGTTTTCCTAATAATACCCCCGTCAGACCGGGGTAGCGTCCTTACTTCGCTGCTACGGCGATGGAAAATAGTTTTAGAGCTCGTTAAGATCGCCATAAGCATAGTGGAAACGCCAGCTATCGTGCTGTAGTCACCATGGTCGCCGAGTCACCGCGTTTATTTTGAGCATGTTCAAAGCAAACGC